AGGTGTCCAGCTGCGTGTGTTCCTCTTGGGAATACAGAACCCCCCATTTTAACGACTGTCATAAATTCTTACCATCGCTTCATAACCATTATTAAAATGGTCATGAGTACCCAATTTAATAACAGTTTGATTAGGTAAAATATTAGCCTAGAAGAAGCATTTGCTTTCCATGATGCAAATAAGCTCTATAATGCTCTGAATATCCATTGCTAATTATTTTAAGTCATGTAATCAATATGAAACTTTGAACTGCTTATTTTCAATTAGAAGTAACACAAATTTACCACAATAACAGAACTAATTTCAAAATATAGTATCTAATCCAATAATGGTTACATGCAGTATCAAATTTAATATAAGTTGACAGAGAAAAGGGTTAAGATACCATTTTCTTAGCATTGCACTGTGTACATCTAATGTCCCCCAATTCTGGAGGACTACCTAATTTATAGTTAATGCCATTTAACATATTCCACCGAGTAAATTAGGCTCTAAGGGAGCTGTGTAAATTAGGTTTTAAAGGATAAACAGAATGGGACGATTCCGGCAGAAAACAGCTGTCCTGCATCTGTCCACATGTCATAACCGTACTCACGTATGCGATCAGTATGGACTCAATTCCTAGAGTTAAAGGAAATCGTAATACTTCACTCCAGCAGTTTAATATGCTTGCATGATTTATTATGCTTTATTAACCAAAAGGAGAGTATACTATTGTAGGCGAAGGTGTTATTATTTCAGAATTGAGAAAACTCAGGTCTCCACGCATGAGAAACATATTTATGGATGGAGGAAAAAGTGCTAGTCTCTGAGAAGAAACAGAAAGGAGTAATTTGGGGGAAGCAGCATCATTTGCTCACTAAGAAGTTTATCCCGTCGTAGGTAAAGGACAGGAACAGCATAGTATAGGAAAAGCAAAGAGCCCGAGACATTCACCCTTGATCTCATGCTGCCCCCGTGACCACGAGCAAGCAGTTCACATCTTCAGTCTCTAGTTTGCTTGGCTCTTGTTGAGGTTGGGATGTGTTCTGACAATCCCCTTTTGGCCCTAAAACCGTACACTGCTATGATCGCTTCCAAGTAAAGTTATACATGGACATAAACCCTTACGTTCTATTATATAGGTAGAATATCCCAGCATTAATGGAAATGCTGACTATTCTAGGGCATCCACGACCAAATTCCTATCCTGCTTATGTTCTAATTCTACCTGTGTCTGCCTTTTCGTTTTTGGTGTATTCATTGGATAGAGACAAACCATGACATAATTCTGTTTTTCAATAGCTCGTGACAGATCAAACAAGGTCCAAAGGGCTGTACGATAATTAGGGCATAACAACACCTTTAACTACTTCCTAAATTCTGAACACATAGATTATTTCGTCAGACGACAGCCCTGAATCTTAAATAGAAGAACATTGGGGTGCCAGGGTTACCGAACCATACTTGGATCCACTCGGGTCCTGAGGTGCAGTAAAGCCAATCTACTGACCCCGGGAAGTGGCGAAAGAAAGTACAGCGTTTATTGCAGGTGCCAAGCAAGGAGAATGGGGAGCTCATGCTCAAAGGACTTGAGCTCCCCGATGGCTTTCAGGGAAGGGTTGTTTTTTTTTTCCACATCTTTATTGGGGTATAATTGCTTTACAATGGTGTGTTAGTTTCTGCTTTATAACAAAGTGAATCAGCTATACATCTACATATATTCCCATATCTCTTCCCTCTTGCGTCTCCCTCCCCCCCACCCTCCCTATCCCACCCCTCCAGGCGGTCACAAAGCACCGAGCCGATATTCAAGGAAGGGTTTTTAAAGACAGTGCTGGGGAGAGGGTCCTAGGATACCTGATCAGCTCCTGGACCTTCTTCTGATTGGCTGGTGCTGAGGTAACAGGGTGGTGTTTCGGGGAATCTCAATTATCAGCCATCTGGTTCCAACCAGCCTGGGGTCTAGTGCTTGTGGTTAGCATGTGGTCACCATCCTCCGCCCGGGCGGGCGTCTTGGTTTCTGCAGAACAACTCAGAGATATGGGTCAGATTGTTATCTCTGTCCTTTCAGGAGGAACTAGGAGAGCTGTGACTCTATAATTCTAAGCCTTAACTACTTGAGTGTGCTCTTTGGAACACGGGGAAGGTCTAGGATACAAAAGCCTTTTTCTACAAACCAGAAACTGGGGACATAGAGGAGATACTGTACCCGGGAGATTCCCCAAAGAGTCCTCATTTTCCGTCCCCTCTTTTCTTTGATATTCCTCACACCTTAGGGGAAATGGATGGGACAAGAAAGGCAATAAGGTCTTGGATGAAGAGGTTAATCTTAAACTCGGCAGGGGAACTCAGTACTGGGGGACTTGGTTTTGCCGGGAGTCATAACCTCATAGCTCTTGATTGACATTACCAAGGGGAAATGAAAGTTTAAGAATGGGAATTCTAGGACAGGAATGGAAGAAACGTGAGCAGAAAGAGGTTATGTAAAAGCAGTAATGATGCCAAAAAGTCAGCCTCCGTGCACTGGTGCCGAATCAAATCTCAGAGACGGTTGTGGGTGAAGTTGAAAAGAATAGCTTTATTGGTTTTCCAGGCAAAGGGGGACACAGTGGATTCGTGCCCTCAAAACTGTGTGTCCCGGGCTTCCCTGGTGGCGCAGTGGTTGAGAGTCTGCCTGCCGATGCAGGGGACGTGGGTTCATGACCTGGTCCGGGAAGATCCCACATGCTGCGGAGCGGCTGGGCCCGTGAGCCATGGCTGCTGAGCTTGCGCGTCCGGAGCCTGTGCTCCCCAACGGGAGAGGCCACAACAGTGAGAGGCCTGCATAACGCCAAAAAAAACCCCAAAAAACTGTGTGTCCCAACCTGGAGGTGGGGGGCTAGTGAGGAGTTTTGTAGCAATGGTTCAAGGGTGGGGTTGCTGATAAGGATCAGGGTGTGTGCAGGGCCTGCACCCCTTTAATCTGGTTTCAGGTAATTTCTCTGTGTCTTATTTTTAAAAAAATATTTGGCTGCACCAGGACTTAGTTTTGGCGCATGGGATCTTTGTTGCAGCACGCAGGATCTTCAGTTGCGGCATGCAGGATCTTTAGTTGCAGCCTGCGGAATTTTTAGTAACAGCATGTGGGATCTACTCCCCTGACCAGGAGTCGAACCCAGGCCCCGTGCATTGGGAACATGGAGTCTTAGCCACTGGATCACCAGGGAAATCCCTCAGTTAATCTCTTGAACTTTTCTGGTCCCTTTAATCTGGCCTCAGGGGGTCTTCTCTGGAATGAAGAATGATGACAGCTTCCATTTGTTTGGGGGGTTTTAGTGCTGTAAAGAGCTCAAAGATGTTGTCATGTGTATCCTTGAGGGGGAGCCAGGACCTGCCCCAAGGCTGCACTGTTGTTTCTTCACGGCTCCTCCCTTGTCTCTGCATCCCATCCTTCCCTGATTGGCAACTGTTTGCATCTTCCCTTTGGGAGTCAGGGAGGGTTCAGGAGGCTCGAGTCTGTTCCCTACAGACAAGAAATGGGGGACAGAAAGGCTTCCATGCCCAGGAACCCCACAGGGTCCTGCTCAGTTTCAGTAACCCAGAGCAGTGGTGACCAGAGATAACATTCTGTTACCGAGTCTGCTGCCCTGAGATCAGGAAGCCATCATGCTAAATCAGTGGAATCTGTCTAAGATAAACTTGCAGGAAGCATACACATTTAATGCTCATTTTCTAGAAATTGAGTACCTACATCGCCAATCATGGAGCCCTCGTCTTTATTTCTCTTGCCCTTCACTTTTGATCTACTAGTAAATCCCGTTGGCTCTGTGGTCATCAGATGTCTCAAGTCTGATTCTCACTATCTCCATTTCAGCCGTGCTCTCTCAGTGATGCCCCTAGATGGGTCTCCCTGTTTCTGCTTGTGTGTTACAGACTCCACTGTGCCCCCCTCAAGTGCATACGTTGAAGCGCTAACCCCCAAAGAGACTGTATTTGGAGATGGGGCTTTTAGGGAAGTAATGATGGTGAAATGAGGTCATAACGGCAGAGCCTTGATCCCATAGAACTCCTGTCCTTACAAGAGGAGGGGGGCACACCAGAGTGCTGTCTCCCTCCCTCCCTC